TGTAAAAATTTATTAGTGAAAAAATCCATAAAAGTTCAATATGTTTTTCTATGAAATAAAGTTTCCCTACTTTCGGTGCGAAAAAAAAATATAGGAAGAAATTCAGTCAAAATTGGATATTTTATATCTGGTGTATGTGTTAATGGATTGCCTTGAAATATGGTAGTGATGTAAGTCCAGTAGAGCACATCCACGGAAAATGTGTGATAGTTTGAATTACCACGACAGGGTTACAGAAAATGAAAAACTGCTGAACTATCACCCCTGTTAATAACAAGCAGCGTGGCCTGTAGGTTGTTTTGGCAGCACGACACACTACCATATGTCGATTATATTTTATTGGACAGTTATGCCATTATTTGCTTATTTATTATACTGAATCTTCAAAAATATTAGTTTTTGGCTGTACTATAGGAAACTTGCTGCTACTAACTGGACAGGGTTTAGACAGTCATAAATTTGTCACATATGTTCTCTCTTCCAAAGTTAGATAGTAAGAGTAGCTCAAGTTTTCCTCGGTTAAAAGACATGTAATAAAGAAAAAATAGGCTCGTTATACCAAAGTTAAGTTTTTCAAAGTTTTTGCTACAGTAGTTTAAGCCAAGAACTAGTGTTGCTGTTTACTTTATGTAAGGTAAACTATATTATTTATTTATTGTTACTTTAATTAATAGTATGTCATTACTTTTAATCTTATTTGTCATTAGAATACTTTTATTATAAGTATTAATTTGCATTTTTAACTAAATATATTTATACACTTATATCTAGCCTCATTCACCAGCCTCAAGATATTACTGGGATTACGGCCGAAAATATCGTTAACGATGATGATACCCAATTGATGAAACAATGTATTCTAATCTTTACACGTAAAAAAAGGTAAGAAGGGTGCATTTAGTTAGCTATACAGATGATCAGATTGAATTTTAGTTTCGCAGAGCTTTCCCTGACAGACATTAGTAGATTTTTCCATAGTCACTTTTTTCTTCGAGTAGAGTAATATTCAGGCTGTAGTTCGTTATTTTGAAAATTGTATAGGTGTTACGTATAACTTATAGTACTTGTTTCCTATGTTAATATCCATGTGCCTATAGAGATTAAGATACATTTTTGTTTATTTGTAGTTAAGTGCAAAGGACTATATGTGCTGTGCCCACCACAGGTATGGAAACCTGGTTTTCAGCGTTGTAAGTCTGCAGTCATACCACTGGTATGGTTTTGTTTTCTTTTTTAAGGCCAAATGAATGTTTATTTTAGTTGTGTATTTATACAAAAAATTCGATATAGGTTTTTTTTCTGTATTATCTGATGTAGTTACTGAAATACAATTTGTTACTTCAGGGCTATTAATGAATTATTCATAGTACTGATAATTAGAACTCTGTATATGACACTTTTAGTTTTGGTACAAGAAAATCAAGTTAAGAGTACTAAATGATCAGTAAGGCAAGTTATTATACTCTCTATAATTGACATGTTAGAAATTGTTTTAAAGATACCGTTACTTTCAAGTTGTTGATTTGTGTGGCCAATAATCATAATGATGGTTGTACTCTGTAAAATAAAACAGTGACTGTAGTGCATGGAAAATGCATTTTATTAAGTCCAGTATTTTCCTAGATATTCCTTGTCATTCAGATAATTCAATATATCAAGAATAAATGTACATATAGATAGAACAATTGCTATGAAATATACTTTTACAAATTGAGAAAGCTCTAAGTATATAATGTTAAATACTCCTAATTTTATAGACATACTTTTCTGTGATGGTAGTTTTAGAAATTTCCCTACCAGAAGTGGTAACTTAATGATGTTTAAAAAATACTAAAGAAAAAAAAAAAAAAAAAAAAA